TATGAGGTAATAACTACACTTCTTATTTAGAGATCTCATCTACTCTGGGTCAGAAAGTGCATGTCTGATGTAGAGAGGAAGGACCTCTGGAATCACATAGTTCCCAGATCTCTCCTTGCTTCACCTGGGCTTTCTGATTTGCATGTATCCCTGAAAATATCAAAAAGTGGATTCTAGGTAATATCTATAATATGTGAGCTTGATTTGATAATATAATTTTTTCTTTAAAGATTTATTTATTTATTTTTAGAGAGGGAAAGGGAAGAAGAGAAACATCAGTGTGTGGTTGCCTCTCATGTGCCCGTATTGGGGACTTGGCCTGCAACTCAGGCATTTGCCCTGATTGGGAATCGAACCAGCAACCCTGTGGTTTGCAGGCCGGCACTCAATCCACTGAGCCACACCAGCCAGAGCTAATAATATAATTCTTTGTGTTAGCTTACAAATGAAGATGAAACTCAATAGTAATTATAATCTTGATTAACAATACTACTAACATTATGACTTTCATAGAGTAAGTGAATCAAATGTTAATTTGGCGCAATTGCTACAGTACACTTACAGGATAAACGAGGCATGCTTTACCAATATGGCAAACTTCTTTTTAAGTACTCATATGAAAAAGAAACTAACAAAACCATAGTATATATAATTACAGAGAAAATTGCAATAATTTTTTAAAAAGTATATGAAACCAGAAATATCACAAAACTGTAATATATGATATACGAGGGGGACCCAAAACACTCAGAATTTATTTATAAAAACCTGTGTATTTATTCTTACATGTTTAAACTTCTTTCACCTACATAGTACTCTCCATCTGATGCAATACACCTATTGAGATGTTTTTCCACTATTCAAAACAGTTTTTGAACTCGATTTTCATGTTTTCCAGTGCTTCTGCCACTTTTCGTTTTACCTCTTTCACACTGGCAAAACATTTTTTAGGACTTTTTTTTATCCAGGGAAATAAAAAAAATTGCTCGGAGCAAGAGCAGGTGATTAGGGAGGGTGAGGTACAGGGTCATGCCGTTTTTTGGTCAAAATCCGCTAAACATTCAGCACGGTGTGGGCAGGTGTGTTTGTAAATCACCCATTATGAAGTGGGCAAATGCACTGAAAGCATCTTCAAAAAAAATTCACTTAAGCCGAATGCAGCCTCTCAAAACAATGCCAGCTGGTACTCTGATACAGATGGATTCCTAGAACACTCACCTAGAGGGGGAAGCCTGTACAACAAGGGGCCAGCCCTCCATAAGATAATTCTGGGTTTTTGCCCCCCCCCCCTTGTATATGACAAGCCTATAATCCAAAGGGTGTGCAGCCTAGAACTCTTCTAAACAAGTCCATTGAGCCCTGGCTGGTGTGGCTCAGTGGACTGAGCACTGGCCTGCAAACCAAAGGGTCGCCCCCTTTGGTTCCCACTTAGGGCACACGCCTGGGTTGTGGGCCAGGTCCTCAGTGGGGGGTGCATGAGAGGCAACCACACACTGATGTCTCTCTCCCTCTCTTTCTCCCTGCCTTCCCTTCTCTCTAAAAATAAATAAATAAATAAATAGTCCACTGAAATAAAATTGTGCCCATTTTACAGAGACGTGGTGATGAAACTCAAAAGATATGATATAGTTATTACATTATTTTGATGATATAATAGTTTACTTGACTTTATATAATACCTCCACAGATCATAATCTACACCACTTTTCCTACTTGTGATCCATCAATAACAACTTGGAAAGAAGCCATGAAGGAAGATCAGACAAGATGATTCTAACAGTTGACGGACGCTTAAAGGATGCTTGTAATAATAAAGACTTGCCAATGTAAAATTAGAAAAGAATGAAACAAAAGGAGAGTTTTAAATAAAGAGTAGAGGGCAGACCAAGGTCTCACAGAATAATATTCAAGTTCTCACTGTACAGGAATACTCAGTATAGGGAAAAGTAATGGCCTCAGAGAGAAGGAAGTTAACAAAAAGCAGGCAGTTAACTGGGTATATGTATTTAGCTGTGACGAATTAAATAATCTGAAAACATGTTGCACACCTCCTCTGGGCCTTTTTTTCTTCACAGAGGATACATATCATGTTTATTGTATTACCTCATCCAATCTCTAGGAAAGTAGAATATAGATATATTTCAGAAGTTCTGATTTTACTGAAGTAGTACAGTAAAATGGCCAAGACCATTAGCTTTATAACCAGTTATGAAACCTACAACGATCTGACCATGGGCAAGTTGCTTAACTTCTTTAAGCCATAGTTTCCTATTCTATAAGACAGAAATAATAATGGTATCTACTTCAACAGGTAATGAATATAAAACACTGGATAAATAAGGCATCTTTTACCTTATAGCAAATTTCTTTTTAAGCCCTCACCCAAAAATACTAACAAATATAGTCCTGGTTCATCGTAAATACTCAGTAAAAGCTAAATTATTTTTTATCTTTATTACTGAATTACTGAGGGAGGGATTTCTTGTATATTTATATTAATTTTACTTTCTGCCTTAATTTTACTATCTCCTTCTCTAGCTAAATAATTTAGTGATCTGTAAAAGTTCATCAACTATTTTAATTTCCAGAAAAAGAACTGTTTCAGAAGCCAGAATTTATACTAGTATCAGAGTTAAAACAGGAATACTATTAGAAAAGGCAGCAGAGTTGGTATTCATGCATTACAGTCTATAAAATTAGAACCCATGATTTTATAGTATCATAAAGATCAGCCCCCCACCCCGCCATTTTTCTTGGCCAGAAAAAACAAACTCCCATTTCTAAAAATACCTCAGGTTTTCCCCTTGAGGAAGTCATCTTGCAACAAAATACCCTATTATCATAGAAAGCAAGTATAGGACAGTATGTCATGAACAAGACTATAAAAATGTAGTGGTATACGAGCCAAGGAAAAAATTCATCTGGAAAAATGAATAAGTAGAGGTTTTTCTTCAGATTTAATTGAGACTGTGAGTTTTCTGTTCTGTGACTATTTCTTTGATACTCCCATGTACATGATAAACAGTTCTTTAAGAAATTACAAATGACCTTTCACTTAAAGAAATATGATCTATGTATTTGCTTATTTTACAAAAGTAGACCAATTTCATAACAGAATCATAAATGAGGAATAAAATTTGACATATAAGGAAAGCATAGTCTTACCCCTTTTTTCTGGTTTTTATATTTAACTTTAATCCAGCTTTTAAACAGCATTATAAAAAAAGTTGAATTCACAGCATTCAGTTCAGACTACCCTTAACCACTGCCATGAAGTCAAGGGATAAATAAATAAATAAATAAATAAAAATTTTACGAATTTCAGGATTATATAGGCTATGCATTTTAGCTTTCTATGAGGCAAAAATTCCACTATGGTTTTATATAATCACACACAAACAAAAAAAAAAACCTATGGATGTGACACAGCAATGTTGTAAACCTATGAACTTCATCACTAGTCTGATTTGTTATTGCTGGTGAGGTTTAATAATAAAAGGAAACAAGTTTCACACATAGATCAAATAGGACAACTTTTCTCTGACTAGCTTCAAATAAAATCCATTATTGAGAGTTACAAAAGGAAAGTATTCTAAAGATTAATGAATATTTTTTGTTTTCATAGTCTTCATACAGTGCACATAAGCATGTTATATATAATGTATCCTTTCCATGTCAAAATAAAATTAGCAATTATATAGTTGCTCAAAGCCTCCGAATAATTTAGGACTACAAAAACGACTATTCAGAAGAAATTACAGGGAAAAATTTAGGTAAGGAATGTAATAATTTAGTAAGGACCTTGGTTAAGAGAAAGTGAAAGGCACAAAGAGATATACAATAACTTCCTATCTTAGAGTTATCCTCAAAACAAAAATCTCTAAAGACTGTATTTCTTATAGGATTTCATGAGGAAAAAAAGTATATGAAAAAGCCTAAATGATGCGTAATTCAAAGTGACACAATGATAATTAGGACGCAAATATAGAATATTTTGACTGAATGGGGAAAAAAAGAGGATTAAAATTTTAGAGAAGACACATCAAATGGATTTCATAAATTTTGCAGTCCTGTGAATAACAATAACCCCACAAAAAAGTAAATACATAAAAACACCTCACACCAAAGAAAAAACATGTCCTACATCTGTTTCTACTCAGATTAGCTGTGATAAATAACTTTGACCTATAAAATATTTTACCACCCTTCAAAAGGAAAAAATGGTGAGAGGTTTTGATAATCTAACTCAATTAAAATATTTTTAGAGAACTCAATCATTCTTTTATCTATCTGAAAACTTGGAAGCTATACCAAAATATAATAGTCAAACATACATGCAAAATGACCCTGCAATTAAGATAATTGCTAGTACCAAATGTTGTTTTTAAGTTCTGCCATAAAACAGTCTCCCAGACATTTAATAGTATGTCATTTGGTAAATGAAAGTTTCCACAAAGTAAGAGCAGTGAGAAGACCTAAAAATTATACTAGTGAAGAGTCTGGCTGAAAGAAACAAAAATATGGATCATTTTGGTCCAACACTAATTTTATTTCGAGTTACTACAGAGCTGAATAAAATGCTGACACCACCACACAAAAATTTATTGAGCTGGCAATAGGCAAAGCATGATGTCAACCACCAATATCCCTATCCGCATTACCAAACAGCATGAACACTAACTCTTGAACTTAGACTGCATGCCTAAAATTACAGTAAAAATAAAAACCTTAGGCATGAAGCATTATTAAACATAGATGAGTTTAGTCTGGCACAGTTTTGACTCAAATTAGTCTAGCACTTTAACAAGTTCAGTAAAAAAAAAAAAGCAAGCTTAAACACATTACAGTTTTCTACATGTGCTACCTTCTTCACCAAACAGACTCATAAAAAGTCTTAGTTACTTGCAATGATAGTCAAAAAGTAACAAACACACAGAGAAAAGGCAAGCTGAGATGAGGAACAGAAACATAGGTATACACACACCCCCACAAATCCTTACCTTCATGGCATGAATTTCTTCAAGTAATCGCTGTGCCCTTCTTTGGTTTTTTAACAGTGCATCTTCAGTACCCCTACAAAAAATACATTACAGTATGTAGCCAGGTAAAGTGTTTATTATAAACTCAATAACATAATGAAAAGCCTTTTTATTTCCTTTAAAAAGGCATAATAAATCTCTACATAACAAGCAATGTCATACTATTTTGTCCTTTCCCCCTTCCAACACATATCCTAATTCTATTAATAAACCCAAGTTTTTGGCAATGTTGTCCTGGAATATTAATGATTATTACCACTGATAGTTTGCCTTCTAATTCCTTAATGGGAAGGCAAAATAAATAAGTTTTAATTAATCCTTTAATAGCACATTATAATTAACCTAAGTTCCATAAGCTACAGTTAAAGGTTGGATATAATTTTATTAAATGAAAAAATTTGTTCTCTGAAATCAGAAGACATAAAGATGTTAGCTATCTAATTAAATCAGAGAGGAAGGTCATTTTCTGAAACATTTATGAAAGAAAACACAAGATTAATCAGGAACAAAACACATTTGAAAACTTTGTAAGTATTCATACTTAAAGTATAAGAACTATAAACAACATTCTTTTTCCTCTAATACCAATGTCACTGAAAATGCAAAATATTACTTCTACAAAATATGAGATAGAACCCAGTGCTTTGATAAACACTTCCCCAAGATACTGAAATTTCAAAGTAATTAGCAATTCAAGAAATAAAATTATATAAAATCTTTATAACTGATGCAAGGCATTACTAGATTTGCTAAACTATAACATCATCTTAAAATAAGTTCTAATAACATAAAATACATGCATAACCCCCAAGGTCTTTTATTCTGAAAAAAAAAAAACAACAAAAAAAAACAAAAAAAGAGACTTCTGAAAAAACAGCAGAAGAATTCATTATGTATTTAAAGCGAATTTGGTCCAAGCCATGTAAGGACATGCTGACACAGCACATTCTATCTCATTCAGGTCCTTTCTAAACATTTTTTAAAAAGTGCTGTATGAGTAAGATATTTAACTATTCCTCTAGGCCCCACCCTCAAATTTGGAAATATTGAATAAAAACAAGTTTTGACATTTTATTAGTCATAGGACCATTACTTTAAATGACTAACTTTTTCGACTTCAGTCTGCCAACACTCCTGACAAGTTTTCGGATAACCAGAACTCGGATTCTCTTCACTTCTTTTCTCATCTTCACAACCTTTAAAGAATAAGGCCAGAATTATAAAGGCAATTAATTCAAGAAGAAACATATTTTAATTTTAGTCTTAATATTATAGACTAAGTCTGTCACTTTAACCACATTTTTGTTTAACTCTATTTTTTGAGGAAATCATACTTTTTCCATAAACAGTAAAGGAATAAAGGAATACATCAACATTTTTAAAATGTGTCTGAGGACATAAGAGAAACAAGTTATCTTAAAAAAAGGCACAGCATTCCCAGTGATCAGTATTTTAATATTATACTTATATCTTGTTAGGCTTGGAACATAATAAACTAAGATCAGAGACCAGATTAATCTTTGTATCCTTGTGGCTTAAAATAGAGCTTCACCCATATTGGTAGAAATTTAATTTATTGATTGAATCTAAAAGTGATCATATTTATAGAGTACCCCTTGCATGTATTTTTAGCAAAATTTATTTGAGGCATAACTAAAAAAAAAAAAGCCAAACCACAGGGGCACATTGTATGTGCTCACACTCACAGAGATACATGCTTTCAATCATTCCATTAGAGAACATACTGAATTCTAAGAACAAAAATATAGATAGATAGATAGGTAGGTAGATAGATAGATAGACAGACAGACAGACCGACCGACCGACCGACCAGCCAAGAGATGACAATATTCTAATTATAAAGAACTACATGTTATAACAGTACTTAGTACAATGGGATGCTATCATTTTGAGTCCATGTTTTGTCTATCAATATGAGGAGTCACACATCTTATAATTCCTCCTGTAATGTCTTTCTTCCCCTCCTCTACTTCAGGAACTACACAAAATTTAGTTCAGATATAATCTTTCTTGTGAAACCTTTGATGCCTTCTTCAGTTAGAGAAAACTACTCTATCCTTGGGGTTCCCTCAAGGGAACGTTGTAGTTAGAATCTATTTCACTCACTGTCATTAATTACTGTGGCCGATTTTTTCTGTGGTTTATGAGCTCCTAGAGGAGGGGAAGTGCAATATTTCCATAGTGTTTTCTGTGCCTTGCAAGAGTGTCTGGCAATACAATCCTACAAATTCTTCTTGCCAAAAGAACAATAACACAATCATCCTATTTCTTCAAGCCTCTTGCATTTGGCTGTAATACCTTCTCTTATCTCTCATGAGTACCATTCACCCCTCTATTCCATTGAAGATACTGACAATCAAGTTACAATTTCCCTCCACCCTAAGTTTTGCTATCCTTCTGAGTGATGTAGATGCCCACGTGATAACTCACCCCAATGTATCTTCACTTCTTGACTTCCCTTTTCTACTGACCTATCTCTTCCATCTCACTGTAGTCCTTATCATCACATAACCATTCCATTTCTAAAATGATCAGTTCAAATATCCCATTAGATTACAACTTCTATCAGCTCCACGCACCACAACAAGTCTCTGACTTCACTGGGATCAGCAATTCACTGACCCCTATACTTTTTCTCAAACAGTTACTCCTTTGCTTTTAATTTTCCTCCTCTTATCCAGTTTAGGTACCTGATCAACATTTGCCAATACCTTTAACTGTCCAACAGTTAGCAATCCCTTTAGTTAATCTCGAATGAAAGTAACATTCTTAGTTAGTTCTTTATCACAGCACCCCAATAGCCAGAAAATACTTGATACAAGCTATCTACTATAAATTCATAACAAATTTCAAATGAGCCTGTACACTTCCTAGCAATCCTACATTTTTTGTCAATTCACTCTACAATAACTATTTTAAACCTTTACCTGATTTCTTAAAAATATCTAATATTCATCTTTATCTCTCTTTTAATTTCATTGAGAAAATAAACACCAGACAAGAACCATCATCTTTTTGGTACCATTAATACCAATTTACTTGCATCACTCACCCTCTTCTATTAATAAAGCTGGAATATAAAAAATAATCCTACATACATGTATCTGAGGTTAATCTTTTAACTGTTTTGGATCCTGTCCTTTCTGCTACCCTAGAACCCTTACCATACATTATCCATTTATTCTAGCATTGCCAATCTCTTCAATGAACGTTTCCCACTAATTTTACTATACTTGAGTCATTTTCATTAAAAACAGGACAAACAAAACATCCTCACTACAAAGTCTACCAGGAGCACCCCGTCTTCAAATGCCACGAGCCAAGCTTTTTTAGAGATGTTCAATCTTACTATATCCATTTGTATATGCCACATGATTCCACTTTGTGGAATTAGTTTGTGGTGTCCAAGACACCAATGATTTCTAAACGTCCCTGAATCCAAAGAAATTTTTCATACTTCATTTTACTTGCAATCTCAGTGGCATTTGACATTGTTGACCATTTCCTCCTTCAAACACTTATTCTTTGGTTTCCATGACACATGACAAACTGCTCTCCTGGTTTTCCTTCTGCCTCTCTAACCACTCCATTTTGGTCTTCTTTTAAGGACTGGCTCATCCACCTCTTATCTTAGCCACCAAGTGTCAGAGTTCAAAGGACAGCCCTAGGCCACCTCTACTTTTCATCATACACTTTTTAGCTTGAAGTGTATGCATGTATACTGTTTCAATTTGCCACCTAAACAAAGATGAGTCAAAACCTGCTACCTTCAGCTGAGATCTTTCAGCTCCAGAGTCAAACATGCAACTGCCTACTTAACAGTTCCTTCGGAGTATACTTAAAAGTCATTTCCACTTCACACTTGCACCCATGTTCTTCACCCCCAACTGGATCCCTGTTTTAGTATTCCATGTTTCAAGGAATGGAACAATCTCTTCAGCAACAAACTTAAGGCTCATTATTGATAGCTCTCATTTCTAAATCCCTCACAATAAATCCACTACCAGGTCCTGTTAATTTTCTCTCCTAATTACCACAGTGTTTTTTCTAGCTTGACCTCCTAGCTGTCGTGGCTGAGTTACTGGTAACTTGTTTCTCTAACATCCACTGTTGACCTTCTCCAGTTATCCATAACTCAGTCAGATTACATTTGTAACACACAGACGTCATGTCACACCTTTGTTTAACTCCCTTCAATGGTTTCCACTCGCTCTTAGGATGGCTACCTAGGTCCTTTTATGCCTTCATCCTTACCATGCTCACATCTACCACCAAGTCTTTACATGTGCTGTTTCCTCTGGTAGGTATGCTCCTTCTCCCCATGTTAGCTTGTCAACATTTTATCTTTCTGATTTTGGCCCAACTATCATTTCTCAGTAGAGTTTTTTTTTTTTTTGTCCTCTCTGAGTCAAAATCCCCAATTATAAGTATTCATGAGTGCTTACATAACTTATCATGAACATCATTTTAATACTTTACTTTTAATCTGATTATGTTTAATGTGTCTTTCTCTTAGTAAATTATAAATTCAATGAAGGTCAAGTATCTTATTTTACTCAACACTGTTTCTTAACACCTAACACAGTGGATAACATACAGTTAAGTGTGTCAAGTAAATACCATTAAATAGATGGTCAGAAGAGTAGCACTATTCACTTGTTCATTCACTGTGTTTTTCTTTAAAGGTTTATTTTATTTTTTCATTAGAAAGACAGGGGAAGGCAGAGGGAGAGAAAAACACCAAGCTGCCTCCAGCTGTGACGGGGGATCAAACCCACAACCTAGGCATGTGACCTGACCTGGAATCAAACCAGCAACCTTTGGGTTATAGATGATGCTCCACCACCTGACCCAACCAGCCAGGGCATTCAGTCACTATTTCAAAAGAATAATATAGTAACAGAAAAATCAGGTTTCTCTTCTACTAAATATGTTAATCTCTTTGGAATCTGTTTCAAAGTTAGATCTATTTAGAAAAAAATCATACTTGCACAAATGAAAAGGCATTTAATCTAGGTTTAAGTGAACAACAAAAAAAGGATTGCTACATTTCATAAGCAGCCTGAGAGGTTTATGATACATTTTTGAAAGTTAAGCAATTCATAAAATAAATTAATATAAGTTTTGTCTTAAAATACATTAACAAATGTTTCTGTTGTAGAATACAGGTGCATGAGATTATACACCATTTGCTAACCACTGTTAACCAAACTTAACTAATAAGCAGTGGGCAGAGTTGGTCCTCGGTTACATTCCAATCATGGGAAAGTTAGACTCCAATTTTAAAATTCCAATTTAAGAAGTACTATGTTTGTCATTACTGCATAAGGGAATCTAAAAGCAAAGGGAATGCTTCATGTACTTACTTTCATGCCAATGTCAAAAAAATGCTTTTCTAGGTTATTAACTTTCTCAGCATTTGTGTACAAGCAGGAGAAAAAATTGATGTTTAGTATATTTAAAAAATAAGTATACTCATCATGTAAAAATTGAATTATACTTTTATTTTTCTCACACCTGATCACCCCAAGCACTTAGCTTTCTCCAAGTGTTTAAATTTATTTTTGCAAAACTGAAACAGCTACCAACAGCCTTTTAACTAGGACTAAAAGGGCTGCCAAATTATGACGCTGGTTGACAGATGACCAGAAGTCAATAAATAGGACTAAAACAACCCATACCATCAGAAAGCCATAAAATACACTTTGGTGAATTCTCCAACCAAAAGTAAATAGAATTATCATTACTAGAAATACAATAAGAGTATGATATCTGGCAGGGAAAGAAGGATAGAAATGTGAGCAAAGAGGCATAATAATGGAAACGAAATGTGCTGACAGAAGAAACAAAGTGAGAGAAAAGTGGAAGGAAGGAGTTTGAAGACAGAAATTAAAGGACAAAGTGGATGATCATTATCACCAAGAAGCCTAAGCTAAGGGCTTCCTAACAGCAAAAGGATGCATTTAATATAATCTCCAAAAGCAGAAGAAAGAGTTAATACACACACACACACACACACACACACACACACACTTAACTGAACCTAGACATACAGAGGCCTTCAGTTAATCTGGTAAAATTTAAACATAGTAAGGTAACATAAACCTCCCCTTGGATAGGTAGTATAGAAATTTCACCTAAAATAAGTGGAAAGCTAATACACCTACTTGGAAAA